GATGACAGCAAGGAAATGAGTGAGCTACTCAAGTCCCAATATGACTCAGTTTTTAGCAAGCCGCTAACCAGACTGAGAGTCGAAGATCAAAATGAATTTTTTATGAGAGAGCCACAAAATTTGATTAACACAAGCCTATCCGATGTTATCCTGACGCCAAATGACTTCGAACAGGCGATAAATGACATGCCCATGCACTCTGCCCCAGGGCCAGACTCATGGAACTCTGTGTTCATCAAGAACTGCAAGAAGCCCCTATCACGAGCCTTTTCCATCCTATGGAGAGGGAGCATGGACACGGGGGTCGTCCCTCAGTTACTAAAAACAACAGACATAGCCCCACTCCACAAAGGGGGCAGTAAAGCAATAGCAAAGAACTACAGACCAATAGCACTAACATCCCATATCATAAAAATCTTTGAAAGGGTCCTAAGAAGCAAGATCACCACCCATCTAGAAACCCATCAGTTACACAACCCAGGGCAACATGGGTTTAGAACAGGTCGCTCCTGTCTGTCTCAACTATTGGATCACTACGACAAGGTCCTAAATGCACTAGAAGACAAAAAGAATGCAGATGTAATATATACAGACTTTGCAAAAGCCTTCGACAAGTGTGACCATGGCGTAATAGCGCACAAAATGCGTGCTAAAGGAATAACAGGAAAAGTCGGTCGATGGATCTATAATTTCCTCACTAACAGAACACAGAGAGTAGTCGTCAACAGAGTAAAGTCCGAGGCAGCTACGGTGAAAAGCTCTGTTCCACAAGGCACAGTACTAGCTCCCATCTTGTTCCTCATCCTCATATCCGACATAGACAAGGATGTCAGCCACAGCACCGTGTCTTCCTTTGCAGAATGACACCCAAATCTGCATGACAGTGTCTTCCATTGCAGACACTGCAAGGCTCCAGGCGGACATCAACCAAATCTTTCAGTGGGCCTGCGGAAACAATATGAAGTTCAACGATGAGAAATTTCAATTACTCAGATATGGTAAACATGAGGAAATTAAATCTTCATCAGAGTACAAAACAAATTCTGGCCACAAAATAGAGCGAAACACCAACGTCAAAGACCTGGGAGTGATTATGTCGGAGGATCTCACCTTCAAGGACCATAACATTGTATCAATCGCATCTGCTAGAAAAATGACAGGATGGATAATGAGAACCTTCAAAATTAGGGAGGCCAAGCCCATGATGACACTCTTCAGGTCACTTGTTCTATCTAGGCTGGAATATTGCTGCACTCTAACAGCACCTTTCAAGGCAGGTGAAATTGCCGACCTAGAAAATGTACAGAGAACTTTCACGGCGCGCATAACGGAGATAAAAACACCTCATTACTGGGAGCGCTTGAAGTTTCTAAACCTGTATTCCCTGGAACGCAGGAGAGGGAGAGATACATGATTATATACACCTGGAAAATCCTAGAGGGACTGTACCAAACTTGCCACACGAAAATCACTCACTACGAAAGCAAAAGACTTGGCAGACGATGCACCATCCCCCAATGAAAAGCAGGGGTGTCACTAGCACGTTAAGAGACCATACAATAAGTGTCAGGGGCCCGAGACTGTTCAACTGCCTCCCAGCACACATAAGGGGGATTACCAACAGACCCCTGGCAGTCTTCAAGCTGGCACTGGACAAGCACCTAAAGTCAGTTCCTGATCAGCCGGGCTGTGGCTCGTACGTTGGTTTGCGTGCAGCCAGCAGCAACAGCCTGGTTGATCAGGGGCTGATCCACCAGGAGGCCTGGTCACAGACTGGGCCGCGGGGAGCGTTGACCCCCGAATCTCTCTCCAGGTCCAGGTCCATACATAATTAAAAACTATAGTATTTATTGTATGTAAAACTGTAATTAATCTCTATAAAATGTATTTTTTGTGTGAATATTTTTGGGTTTCTGGAACAGATTAATTGTATTTCCATTATTTCTTATGGGAAATATTGCTTCGAATTTCAGACTTTTTGAATTTAGAACTAGCTCCTGGAACGGATTAAGTTCGATTTTTGAGGTTCCACTGTATATATTGCCATGATTGCTAACTTTGCTGGAGTGTAATTCCATGAGTTTTCGACCAAATTTCATACTTTTGGTGTCATTACCATCGGGGAAAGATTCCCTATCATTTCATTATAATTTTTTTTTTTTTTTTCCAGAAATTTTTCAACATAGAATGAGTTTCAGAAAGGGGCTTACGACAGTCAAAGGGTTAATGAGATTGAATCTGTTGGCGTAATATATGTTTTGATTTCCTTGAGCTGTGAGTACATTATAGCACATCTTTTGGCTCGTTCTTTAGGTATTAATTCTAGCCTATATGTACTTCTCATTACTATGCTTTCTCAGTGGATCTGAGGATGCTGTCATTTTGCCAGGGACTGTTTAATCTTTGTCACCTGTTTGGCTTTTAATGTGCAAAGCCTGTTGTAGAGGCTTTTTGTGCAAAGGAATAGTTGAACATTTGAGTTAGTGTATTGTTCCAGTCACGGCATTGTGCCTTTTTGTTCTTTAAGGAAATTAAAAGTGAAAATAGAAAATAGCAAGGTGATAAGAGTAACAAGTATCGATTGTGAAAGATTAAATATCAAATTGGAGGGACTGCTATGGAAGAAGTGAACATGTTGGTAGATGGGTCCACGAAAGATGAGACGAGCCATGGAATAGATGAGGGGATAAAGATAGGTGGTGTGTTGAAGCATCTGTGGAGTTTATCTATGGAGGCATAAAGATGAATGTACAAAAGAATAGTGGCATCGGCACTTATATGGGTGCAAGATGTGGAGTTTAAACATTACAGAAAGGAGGTATATTGGCAATGTGATGTTTGAAAGCAATGTTTAACCCTTTGACTGTTTACGCCGTATAAATACATCATACGCACCACTGTTTCTGACGTATATATACTCAATAATTCTAGCGGCTTCAAATCAAGCGGGAGAAGGCTGGTAGGCCCACATGTGAGAGAATTGGTCTGTGTGGTCACTGTGCACCACATAAAAAAAATCCTGCAACACACAGTGTGTAATGAGAAAAAAAAACTCTGATCGTTTTATTGGATTAAAGCGCCGACTTTGAGGTGTATTTTCGTATAGTATTTATTGTTGTATTCGCGTTTTCATGGTCTTAGGTGATAAAATGGGAAACATATTACAGAAATAGAAATGATTTTCATTACACTGACTATGAAAACGACCTTGAAACTGAGCTCAAAGTAGCGGAAATGTTTGATTTTTACCAATGTTCAGGAGTAAACAAATCACACCACACGTCCAATACACGTCAACTGGGGAGTCTAATATTCTTTCACTAGTGCACTGATATTATTTATACCATTTTTACAATAATGCAGTAGTCTGCATGACAGTAAATTTTGTATTTTTTTGTATGAATAAAAAATCAAAATAGAAAGCAATAATAATATAAGAGGGGCCTAGAGATGTGACTAACGAACAGAGGATATGTTATTTTAGTGCCAAGAATGTCTACCTTGTTTATTCTGGACCCTATTTTGAAATTGACATCTTTTTTATTTTGCGTGAAATTGGACAAATTGCCAATTTCTGACCACTATATTGGGTAGTTCAAATTGGTAAATGGGTGGTTTCTTGTACTCAGCTGATAGATAAAATGGAGTTCTAAAGAAATAGCTATGAGTTTGGTCAACTGGAACAACGGAATTGGCTGAAAACAGGGCTCAGAGTCGGCGAAATCGCCAATACGCATATGTCGCCGAGACCGCTAACTTCGCGGGAGCGTAATTCCATGAGTTTTCGACCAAATTTCGAACTTTTGGTGGCATTACCACCGGGAAAAGATTCTCTATCATTTCATAAGAAAAAATATTTTTTTTTTTTTTTTTTTTTTTTTTTTTCAAAAATTTATCGACATAGAATGACAGTTTCAGAAAGGGGCCTGCGACAGTCAAAGGGTTGGAAATAAATGGTACAAAATACCGACACAATGGAAATATAAACACATATGCAGTATAATGTGATCCTTTATTGACTACGTTTCGCCCACACAGTGGGCTTTTTCAAGTCACAAACAGAACTTGTGACTTGAAAAAAGCCCACTGTGTGGGCGAAACGTAGTCAATAAAGGATCACATTATACTGCATATGTGTTTATATTTCCAGTCAAAGGGTTAAAAGAATAAAGATTTAAATTTTTTGCAAAGGTTACAATGTGTAATTACAATTTTGATCTGTGTGAATATTTTGCATAGAATTCAGAGCCTTGAAATTAAGGCTCAGTGGGGTCACCTTAGATATAATTCAGAGGACCAAGAGAAGTGGCAGAATTAGGAGGGTATGATTGAAGTGTAGAAGTGGGAAAATAGGAATAAGATGTAAATGATGTGATTAAAATATCTAAGACACAATATTGTGAATGGAACAATACAAAAATAACTCGCTTAAAAGTGAAACTTATGATATTTTGATCTGACTTGGACTATTAATTAGTTACTAGAGTTGTTAGTTAATGATCCAAGTTGAACCAAAATGTTTGTCTCCTAAGTGCAGAATGTGTGTGTATTGGGAAGTACCAAGTGCAGGTTATATGTGTATTGGGAAGTACGTACTGAGTGCAGGTTGTGTGTGTATTGGGAAGTACCAAGTGCAAGTTATGTGTGTATTGGGAGTACTAGTTTGACAAGTGGGTGCGAGTTGGATCTGCTTGCTGTAGCGTGGGCCATTAGAACTACTACAGTGTTTTTTTCATTGTGTATTTATCTTTGAGTTTATGTGCACTGAATGGTAATTATATATTTTATTGGACAGTGTCTAAGAAATATTCTTAAAGGAATAGCTGCTGTACATAGTTTTTTTTGTGTGTGTGCATGATCAGGTTTTTTCTAATTCTGTCCTTTATAGAAGCATAGTAACCATTGATCAGTTTTGAAGACAGTCTTTTTATATTTTTCATTGTAATATTTTTATTAAATATTTTTAAAGGATATACTAAAAGTTGTTTTGATATTAACAGGGCTGTCACCGATATCATGAATACACTGCAAGGCTTCTTCATATTTCTCATCTTTTTGGCAAACGCAAGCAAGCGCAAACACCTCAAGAATAAGTATCCAGGATTGTTTGTGGTAGTAAAGCATTTCAAACTGATATTCCAGAAAACAAAATCATTCATATGTGGAAATGATGATAGTGATGTGGTTCTTTGTCATGTCAGTGGAATAACATCGCAAGTCAGTAGAAAAATATCAGGTTCATCCATTGTTTCAAATATTTCAACTCTGACTTCCTCGTTGAATATGAGTTCAGACTCATCATTCCATGTAACCTCATCTGCTAAGTCTAACAGAAAAAGACCTCCATCAGTTAGTGAAACAGAAAATGGTATTGTTGTTATTTCTCACTCATCTTTATGCTTTACACCTAGCAGTGAAAGTGATACATCTCTGTGATGTGCTGAAGGTGCCAGAGAGGCTTTGCAACAGAGTATGATCAAAATCTAATGAATGTAAATTTATACTTTGTGGGTTTTCTGCTTATTTATTTTTAAAATACTATACTGTACTATAATTGCTGTATGATGCTTATGGGTTTAGAGCTTAGTTGTGATTACATTAAACTGAATTGTAAGAAAACTAAAGCAATATTTCCCATAAATGATGTAAATCCAATTAATCCATTCCAGACACCCAAAAATATTAACAAAAAGTACGTAGTATAGAGAATAACTATAGTTTTACATACATAAAATAATGAGAAATATAAATGACTAATGAAATGGATAAATGAATATTTAACATCACTTTTACCTTTATTGAAGACTCTTGTTGGCCTATGGAAGACAGCGAGGAGGGAAGAGGGAGGAGAAGTTATCTCTAGCACCATTACTACAACCCTCTAGCACTAGATAAACCTATCTTTAAGGTAAAAATTTTTTTTTTTGTTTGTTGATACTTCTTGGTGTCTGGAACAAATTACTGTAATTGGATTTACATTATTTCTTATGGGGAAAATGGTTTCGCAAATCGTCAATTTCAATATTAGTCACACTCTCTGGGATGGATTAATTATGAAAAACGAGGGTGCAAGGTGAATAGTAAGGTAGGTAGGTATCAAAGTGTGGTAGGTATGTAACCCCCATCTGGCTACCCCACCCACACATTATATACTAGGCATTTAAAGTGCCCTTAAAATATTTGTAGTCTTAATGTAGAGTGAGAGGTGAGTAAGCAAGATGAGTACATGAGAGTGTAGAAGGTTTGCTGAGCTTTGTAAACAAACCAGTTGTTTTTGTTGTTGTTAGTAGTCCGGACACGAATGGTTTGTGTTCACTCCGTCAAGCCGACTGGAAAAACATCTCATATTTATGTTAATTTATATGTTACGTAGCGTGTTTATTATATAACTTTGAAAAAATATCATAGATGGATTAAGCAAAATGTCTATATTAACATTTTATATGACACATAATGTGCCTCAGAATGATTATTATTATTATTCATTATTAATATGGCATCTTCAAGACTAACAACACACTCTTAGTGATTTTAATGTGTTCCTGCATGCCAGCACAGGCACAAGTTGTGGAGTTTAAAGCAGTTAAGTTCAGTGACAAAGTGTAACATTTAAGAGTAGCATTAAGTGTAGCAATTAAGCGATAGAAAAAGGACGAAACAAAATAAACTCTTGACAGCATAAGCTGCTCTGCCTGTTTTCTGCAAGATATGTAAATGGTGTATGTATGCCAGTTCATTTGTACATTATGGTTTTCTTATGAAATATGTGATCTAATGCTGTTTGCCTCACAAACTCCATTTTCTTGTATACTAACACGTCTGAAGGAGGAACCACTGTCCTCCCCCGCCACCATATACGTAATGACATACATGTTTTATTCGTTCTGGAATATATATCAGGTTTTTGTTATTTATGTTGTTTATGTCAGATGAATTGTGATAGATAAATAAGCCGTAGAGTTGATAATAGCATCATATTAAAGCAGTGGCATCGCTAGGGTTGGTGTCACCCCCATGAAATCCAAGGGCAGGGGGATGGGGGGAGTCAACCCCGGTTACTTCACTACTGCATGACCAGTAACTGATGTTTAGCAATGAGAACGTTTAAGGGCTATAAACCGAACAGGAGAATACTTCTCAACTTGATTAATGATTAAATAAATAATAGTAGTAATATTAAGGAAACATAAACTCAAATACCACTTTGAGTACAGTTAACAGATCCTACATTTATTCATCTTCAACAATGCAAAAAAAAAAAAAAAAAAACTTGAAAAATAAAGAAAAACATTGCAATATCAGAGAAACACTAGTTCCGATTTGACCTTGAGTACAGGTAACATCTCGGTGAATCTGATTTTACATTTCCTTGCCTTCAAATCTGCAAAATCTTCTATCACATCATAATTATTGATTTTTCCCTATACATGTATAGGCCTGTAGAAACGTAAGATTTTTATCTTTTGTTGGTGCAGCACAGTTTTGGGCATTAGTGTCACCTTTAGAGGCTCTATGGTGTCATCCAGGGCGGCCCCTCCCCCTTACAATGCCACTGTATTGAAGTACTGTTTTGTCATGCCTCCTGACAGCAGGAACGGATTAATTGGATTTACATTATTTATGGGAAATATTGCTTCAACTTTAGGCCTAGCTACTGGAATGGGTTACGGCCGAAACTCAGGGTTCCACTGTACGAGCATATTGAGTTACGAGCTAGGTCACGGTACGAATTAAACTCGTAAGTCAAAGTACCACTGTACGTGCATTCTCATATCTTAAAATTTCATGAGCACATCAGTCAGAATCAGAAACCTCTCATGTATTAGCTATATAAAACAAATTTACATTTGTTGGATATGACTGGATACTCTATAACCACATCAGGCCCAATGCAGCTTTATTAAAGTTCATACATTACTTAATACTACTACATTGTAGTATAAATGCCTACCCAAAACAATATTGCCTTACACCCAATTGTAGTATTCTCATAATGTAAACTACTTTCAACAACTCAGTGTTATATTCCCATAATATAATTTAAATATTTACTATTGATATACAAAACCTACAAAATACTTTCAACTTGTCCCAGTGTAATATTCCCAGATTGTAATTTGAGTAAACTCATTGTCTACTATAACTAAAAACAGACGTACAACTTAAAACTATGATCAATTTCTCTAGTATTAAGTAGTTTTTAAGCCATTAAATTTAGTCTGCCCATAATGCCAAGACATAATAGTGGCTCTTTGCACTGCAACTCATTATTGTAATTTCATAATCGCAGTATAATCTTGCAAGGAAATAAAAATTTGTATTTGTATTGTTTTTCTTGTTGAACTGTTAATTTGCTGTATATTTATCTTACCTGTTGACTCTCAGAACACCTGAAGGGTGTTCAGAGAGTCAACATCCCTATAGCCAGGTCTTGCAGTGGATCAGGCCTGATCAACCAGGCTGTTATTGCTGGCGATATATCTAAACCAATTTACGAACCACAGCCTGCTTGGTCAGGTACCGACTTAAGGTGCCTGTCCAGCTCCCACTTGAAGACAGCTAGGAGTCTGTTAGTAATCCCCCTTATGTATGCTGGGAGGCAAGTTGTGTATACTCCAAGTTGCGAAGTTGCCGATTTCTTGTTTATGAATTTCTGTACAGAATTAAGCTTTAACAGTGATTTGTTTTAGCATAATTACAGTATTATGTTCATGGGAGGAGTGCAAAACCAGTGGGTCACATAGCACTTGGGGTAATAGGAGGCATTTGGGATCAATCCAAGGAAGGGAAAGACAGATCCAATTCCATGGATGAAGAGTCCTTCACTGGCATCGAGGAACCTCCCATGAGGGGTGTTTAGTACAAATCATAAATCTAGTCATATAAATCTGTAGAAGGGTAGGGATCATCCTACTAAAAGATGGAGGTGGTAAGAAGTTTTCTGTGTAAGGGGCTTGGACATACAGCAGGCATGTGTGTGTTTTAGATAGTAAATGGAGATGAATGGTTTTTGGGACCTGATGAGCTGTTGGAGTGTGAGCATGGTAGTATTTTATGAAGGGATTCAGGGGAAACCAGTTAGCTGGATTAGTCCTGGAAGTGAAAAGTACAATATCTGCACTCGAAAGGAGGGGTTTGGGATATTGGTGGTTTGGAGTGACATCTAAACTGTCATATCTGGTTACTTCTGCAAAGACAGTGGTTGTGTGAATGATGATTTTTTTTTTTTTTTTTTTTTTGGGGGGGGGGGGTCACCCTGCCTTAGTGGGAGATTGCTGACAGGTTGAAAAAATAAATTACTACTATCTCTTCAAATTTCCGCTGCCGATTCTTTTGATCAATTGCGACTTCTTCCTATTCTCCGCACACTGTATGATTCCCCCTATGGGTTTAGCACCCGTAAATGTAATACTGGCAGTACTGGAATACAAAATTATAATTTTAGAATTTAAGACAGCTGAAGCATAATTCAGTACCCACAATGTTTATATACCATGCACTCTGCATTGTGGTCATTGCTAAAATGTAGTAGATGTAAAAAGTGTACAGTTTTAATATACAGTACAATATTCTATCTGAAGTTAAAAGTGTTGTATAATTTCGTTTTTCTTGATACCGTGCCCTTTTTGTAAATGGTCCAAGTCAGACCGAAACGTCGTCGTAAGCTTCTCTTATGTGCTGGTTATTTGTGTATCGTTCCAGTCACGGTATTGTGCTTTTTTTTTTTTTTTTTTTTTTGGCTACAGCCAATTTGATTTTGGTATCACTTTCTACAAAAGAAATCTTACACAATTGTTAGTGCTGTACATCACTTTAATGTCTTAATTTGCAAGGGGCATGAAAGGTGTGTATTTCTGCACTGTGTGGGTATTAGATATCCTATTGGTTTTGACAGGAAGAATCTTATGTTCACCAAAACACGGGTCAGTATGTTTTACATAGTTTCTAAAGAAATCTTTACTAGCCTTGATTAATTAAACATTTGAAAATGTACAATGTAGTCATTAGTGTTGTTAGTAATTAAAAGTGTACTGATAGTTAAAAAATACTAACAAATGGTTAGAAGGACACTAAACACAGGGTACAATGTTTCACCCACAGCAGCATTTAGTACAATACATACAGTATAGTTTTTGTAGAGGCTTCTGCAAACTGGTAAGATATATTATTAGCCCCTGACCCCCAAAAGGAATTCTTAGATGATTTTCCCCATTTGTCATTTGTTTACATCCTCCTGTGTACTTGCACTTTTGCATTCCCTTTGCTTACCAGTGACTCGGACCTCGAGCTCCATTTAAGTGGACCCATTTTGTTCAAGGGTCGCCTTTACACTAGTTTGCTATTTTTTTTTCTTTTTAGTGCTTTTGGATTATTATTATAATCAAGGGGGAAGCGCTAAACCCGGAGGATAAGTGCTTTTGGAGAATTTATAAAGTACTGTAATTCTTGTAAATTCTTATTTCAAGACATTTGTTAAAAGGTGTGCAAGCATTCTTCAGTACTGTGCCAGAATGATGCATTTCATTATTTGGTATAATGTTGAAAGTAATTTTTAATAGATTTTTTCATGCAATTCTAAAACTACCAGTAGTAATGTTTACTGAGGCAGTAAATATGAGCATATTATAATCTGCAAGTTGAGTTGGACTGCCAACCCAGTAGGTGTACGGTGAGAACAGATACGTCTGCACTGTCACATTACTTTGTACATAGACTACTATGAGGCTTTTAGAAGTCTCCACAGTCTTCTCCCCCCCCCATGACTTTCCATGTTTATCACATGCCCTGCAGTACTGTATGACCCTCATGGGTTCTTATAACCTTCGAGTCAGTAAATTGACAAGGTCTTTGGAGCAATAATTTAACCTTAATTTGTAGGAGGCTCTGAGTCTTCATTTCAGGCCCTGCTTGTATAATATCCAGGATCTTGAGATAAAAATTTTGTAAATAGTTCTACATTGTGCAGTTGTAAAGTACAGGGAAAGGCCTTAATAGTGTATACTAAGTTTTCAGTGCTGTTACAAAGATGCAGTTCATAGGATGATCATTGTAAGTTATGTTGGTACTTTCATTTTGTAATTGTGATTATAATTGTAATAAAACTGACTGACATTTAATGTATTCACTTTCTTTCCAGGAGTATACCTAAGTGAGCATAGAGAACTTTAATTTCCCTGTGATACCAGCTAGAGAATGGGAAATAAAATTGCATCATAGAAAATGGGAGTGAAATTCCCATAGGCTTTCTGAAAAGAATATAGCATATGTGCAAAGTGGTTTATACACTAGACAAATCTACATGTGGAAGTCAGTCAAGCCTATATTATAATCAAAGAATGGGCTGAACTGACAAGTTCATGCCTACAGGTTAGGCAATGAATTCCCTGTATTAAGTTCCCACTGATGTTGCTGTGTCTGACAGTAATGATAAATCGTTCAGAGAAATGAAAAGTAGACAAATGTGCAACAGTAGGTTATCTTTATTGAACAAACATTTTGCCACACAGTGGCTTCATCAGTCCTATACATATAAGAAAGAGTTTGAGGTAGTCAATCCCTCAGCCTGGAGTTTATGTAATCAGTCCATCATTCTTAAAAAGAATACAGCATACATGTGAAGTGCTTTATATACTGTAGATAGTATATCTACATTAGTCAGATACAGCAACATCATAGGATCTAGCCTAACATATAGGCATGGCCTACTTCCACATGTAGATTTGTCCTATGTGATACTGCCTACAACTGCACCTGTCCACAGTATTCTTTTCAAGAATGATGGAATTCTTATACCCCTAAAGGCTGTCCCAAATTTTCTGATTTAAAAATTTTGAAGGATTTTTTTGAACCAACTTTGGCCAAACATTCTTCCCCCATAATGAATTTAAGTGTTTCACCAATTGCCCAATTTTAAAAAGTCCTGGAATGCAATTCCCTGAACACATTTTTAAAGGGAAAAAGGGGGAAATTGCCTCAAGGAGGCCCTTTTAAGTAACCTTGGGCCAAATCCCCTGTAATTTCTCCAAGAGTGTTTAATCCCTTTTCAATACAATTATATAATCAAATACCTAACCCACAAGGGGTATAACCCCTTTTCAAAAAAATCCAATAATGATGGTTCACATGTAATTTAAAAAATCCTAAAGTTTGGAGTAAGGGGAAAAATGAGAGTTCCCCTTCAGAGGCCAAATGACTTGGGAAGACTAACCGTATTTTAATCCTTTTCAAACCAATTATTTTTAACAGAGGTCCATCAACCTTCAAACCAGCAATATGGGGTTACTGTCCAAATACCTTTTTAGGGGAAAAGGGAAAATAGAGTTTCCAAAAGACTGGGGGAGAACCTTTCCCAAAAAATTAAACATAAACTCAATTTACAGATGTATATTGAAAAAAAGGGAACCAAAGGGGTATCACCTCCCAAAAAGCCCGGGTTTATGAAAAGGAGGGGAGAAATGGGTGATCCAGCGAGCGGGAAAATTGTGAAAATAAAGGACAAAGAGGCTGAAAGGGCGGGGGATGTTTAATTATAATCAAAAAGGGTAAACGGGGCTTTAAGGCATGAGGGCAGGAAAAGGAGGGCATAAAGCAAAAGGGGAAAGGTAAAAAGAATGGGTTAATAAAGCGGGTTGGATGGTAAATTAGGGGCGGGCTGAGTTAGAAGGGGGGGGAGTTAAACATAAAATTTGTGGAAAATCATCAGGCAGAATGTCAATGAGGCAGGTTAAGGGGCCCCCCAGAGAAGGGAGTAAGAGAGTGTGGAACGAAGACGGTTGAGAGGGTAAATTTCCGGCCGTGAAAGAGAGGCCCAGTAACATGTGGTTTTAATGAAGGAATTTGAACCTCACAAGAGTTACAGGTTTGTTCCAACGGATAGAGGTGGGTGCCAATTGCAGCAAAATGGTCTCCAGAAAAAGAAACCTAATAGGAAATTGGTTATAGTATTTTTGCCCGCGGGGCAATTTGTTCCCCGTTCATGGGGGTACTTTGCAAAAAATGACCAGGGAAACCCCCAAAATAGAAATTTGTTTGTACGTGAGGCAGCGTGCCCAATTGGTTCGGTAGAACAGGGGGGAAAAAAAATTTTTTATACCCTTGTAGAGATAAGGAGTCGAACCCAAAAAATGAAAGAAATGGGGTGAATGTATAAATTTTGATAAAATGTAAAAAACAGGAATTTAAAACTGCCAAAATGATGACCAGGCATGATGTGAAACGAAAAAGTGCTGCAAGAATGGCATACAATTCAGCAGTAAAAATGCAGCGAAATAGAAAAATGCCCCCCCGACGCTGCCCGGAAACACTGCTGCGAATCCGACGCCGTCTGAAGACTTAGAGCCTTTCTGTGTACACAGCGATGGCATGAAGAATGGGAGTGGAAGTGATAAAGAAAAAGAGAGCAGGAAGCCACCGTAGGCAGTTGAGCTTTCGAGCAGGGGAGTGAGAAAGAACAGACCCGAACAGCTGGAACTTCCCAGGGGGGTAGGGAAAAGTGAGATGCTACATGAACATATAAAGGTGGTAACTGAAGGGAAGACAAGAGTGAATGTAGGCGAAGAGAAAAGGGACGGGCAAAAAAGGGGCGGCAAACAAATAAAGGGAATGTCTACTAATATCAGTGACCATTCTATAAATGGAAGGATTGTGGAGAGCGTGGAGCGTACATAGTAGCAAAGGCAATGGGCACCCAGGGCGATCAGAAAAGATGGAAACATTCGTTCTTGCTAGAGGCTCTCAACAGGGGGAAGAGCGAAAGCACCAAGGCACAAACGTAATCCTTGGTGATGGATAGGGTTAAGGCTAGAGAGAGTAGCAGGAGAGGCCGCTGAATAAATCTGGTCACCAAAAATCAAAGTTTCGATAAAACGAGGGCTGAATGTAGGCGAAGCGGGAGTTCGACGTTTCACTCCCCAGGAAAGATGAGAAAGGGGTTTTAAGAAGGTTTAGCTGGCTGTGACAAGTTGCCTTCAGAGAGGTAATGTGAGGTTCCAGGATAACCTACGTCAAAGAGAAGGCCTAGAAACCTGACTGTATCACGTTCGGGGATACGGAGCCATAGAGATACAAAGGAGATCGGAGATGACAGAGCGTCTAGTGAAAGTAATTTGGTGAGTTTTGGTACTTGAAAATTTAAACCCCCATGCGTGGTGGCCCAAGTGGAAACACAGTCGACCACATGTGGAGAGAAACTGCAATGAGATGACAGTCAGCGCCTGCACAAGCAATAGCGAAGTCATCAACATAGAGTGATGACCAAATATTGGGTGGAAGAAACAAGGTCAAATCATTTATAGAAGGAGAAAAAGTGTTGTGCTTAGAACACTCCCTGAGGGACACCTTCAGCTTGGGACGAAGTCCGGGGAAAGAACATATTGACTCGAACACGGAAATGTAGTCGTTAAAAAGTTCTTAAGGATGGTGGTAGATTGCCTCGGAGGCCTAAGGAGTGGGCCTGGGCCAAAATATTATACCTCCAAGTTGTGTCATATGCTTTCTCAAGGTTAAAAATATGGCAATAACTGAGTGATTATTCGCAAAGGCATTACAACATACGTATCCAAGCGTAGTAAGGGTCTATGGTAGAACGGCCCTTAGGGAAAAGCCATTTGACTAGCGGAGAGTTTGTTTGTTTTCTCTAAATACCACATTAAACGTCGATTTGTGAGACGTTCCATCACTTTGCAAACTGCACTAGTAAGAGCGATGGACGATAGTGGGAGGCATCATGTCCTGAAATACCCGGTTTTTGCGGAAAGGGAGAACAAATGGCAATTTTCACAGCTGGGAAAAAACTCCTTGTGCCTAAATAGATTGAAGAGGTGTAAGAGGACTACAAGGGCTGACCGATGTAAATTTTTTGTAACATACGAATATAAATGTCGTCAGGCCCAGCTGCCGATGATCGCAAGCGGGAGCGTTGTCCCATTTCTTGAAGTGTAAAAGGCACATTATACTGTTCTTCTCTGAGAGAAGAAAAGTCCAAGGGTACTAACTCTCTGGCAGACTTTGAGGAAAGAAACGAGGAGCATAGATGGAGCCCCCGGGAAATACGGACCAGATGTGTGCCAAGTTCAATGGCAACGTCGAGAGGGTTTGCTACATCAACACCAGCGACCCATAGAACAGGTGGCCGGGTCAGGAGGTATTTACCATAAATTTCCTCACTTTTTTCCAGACTGCACTCAGAAGAAGCAGAGGTGATGGTGGAAACATAGTCTCGCCAGCAAGTGCGTTTAGCTTCACGGATGACACGGCGAGCGATCGCACGCTTCTGCTTGAAATCAAGAAGTCTCTCAGCAGTTCTGTTGTACTGGTACCTGCACCATGCAGCGCGTTTTTTAAACGTACTGCACGAGCAAAAGCAGGAGACCACCCAAAGGGACGCACTTCTGAGAAAGCCTGCCTGAGGTTTGGGTATAGAATGAGAAGCTGCGGTATAAACTGACGTCGAGAAGAGGTGTAGGGGCTCATCAATGGAGGATGAAGAAGGAACCTCACTAAAAGCAGTGAGTGCGAGTAAAGATCCCAATTAACCGATCAATTGCCAGCGAGGGTACGGAAAGGTGGTGAATAGGAAGAAGAAAGATGATTGAAAATGATCGCTGTCATGTAAGTCCGGTAGAACAGACCAGGTGAAGTCTAGTGCAGTGGAGGAAGAGCAGACTGATAGATCGATGCAAGAGAGAGTATGAGTACGAGGATCAAAATGGGTGGGGAGTACCCGTATTTAAAACATGGAGGGGGTGAGGGCGAGAAAAGCCCCCAACTGGATGCCACGTGAGTCACAATGAGACCCCCCCAGAGGAAATTGGTGGGTGTTAAAATCACCAAGTAACAGAAGTGGTGGTGGTAAAGGATGAAACAAGAAAGGTAAAGTCTGGGATAGAAAATGCTCGAGAACGAAAAGATATAAAGAACATCTTGTAAACCATTATTCAAGTGGATACGGGCTGCAGTGTAATGCAGCGAGGTATGGACAAATAGTCGACGTACGGAATATCATTGCATAGAAGAAGGGCACTTTCATTAAAGGTCTCATCTGAGAAAAAGGGTCCGAAGAATACAATAAATTATAGCCCGAGATAGGTTGGAAAACAGCGAGTGTAATTTTG